GCCCCAGCACACGCCTTGGTTCCTGGCATAATGGGGACAGATTGGTCTGTTCGGGACCACGTTGGCCCTTGGCGGTGGAGGCGGGGGAGGTCCAGGCATGGCTGTTCCTGGAGACTGCCTTGCCTCTAGGGCCAGTGCCCTGCAGTGCCCCTGGGGTGGGCTCTAGTCTAGAGGGTGAGCTCAAGGTGGGCTGCTCACTGTCACCGCAGCGTGGCCACAGAAGGGAGGGAGTAGGATGGGGCTTTGAAGTCAGGCCTGATCTGAGGTGGTCTTCGGTGGGTTAAAGGGAATGGGGTGCACCTGGCTCACCCTCAGAGGTGCGCGCTCTCCCGTCCGTGCCTGAGTGTGTCCCCACACCACATGTGAGGTGCTAGCGAGGGACAGATGCGCTGTGCCAGCACAGAGCTGGACACTTAGGACAGCATTGAGGGACAGGTGCTCAGACATCAGCTCTGCTGTGAGTCATGTCACTGCACTAACAAGACAAGGATAAAGGAAAATTAAGGAATCTTCTAGAAAACAAAGTAAGAAAAAACTGTGATTAAGATATTTGTAAACTAAGAGTGGCCAGATCGTGCAGAGGCCGTCAGCAGCGGCTGCCTGAAGGAGTTGGGCTCCTCGCCTCACACCATTTGACTAGCGCAGCCTCCTAAGGGCCCAGAGGTGGAACGGATGCTGACCGGGAATCCAAGTGAACACATGGGAGGGGCTTGTAAGGTGAGGAGAATGAGCCTCAGCGCCCATCTCATGCGGTTAGTCAGATGTTTGATTTCATTGATGGTCTGGCTCAAGACTTCAGCTATCTCGTTTGCCAGATACACCAGCCTTCCAACAAAGACTGGGATTAAGGAGATCTACGTGCCCAACAGCCAGGAAATGATTGAACTAGAAGCATTAGTGGGCTGGGGTAGGCTTGGCATACAGGTGTGTACAGTAAACAGCAGTGGGTGTTTTTGTGTTCTAGGACTCCTGTTTTGTTTTTTTTTTTTTGCTTTTTGGGTCACACCCGGCGATGCACAGGGGTTCCTCCTGGCTCTGCACTCAGGAATTACTCCTGGCGGTGCTCGGGGGACCACATGGGATGCTGGGGATCGAACCCGGGTCAGCCGCATGCAAGGCAAACGCCCTACCCGCTGTGCTATCGCTCCAGCCCTAGGACTCCTGTTTTTATTCGGTGTGCTCTTGCCAGGATTGAATGTACTGAATGAAATATGAGGATCTTGTTCAATCTGAAAATCCCCATTCCCTACCCAGTTTTTGGTTTTGGTTTTGGCCCTACCTGGTGATGCTATAGTTACTCCTGGCTCTGCACTCAGGAGTCACTCCTGGCAGTGCTTGGGGAGCCATCTGGGATGCTGGGGATCGAACCTGGGTCGGCCGCATGTGCATTACCCTTTGTACTATCTTTCTAGTCCTATGCCCCCCACCCCCCACCTTTTTCCCATTTAAACATTTTTACTATGTTGCAAAACCCATATATTTGCTCAAGTCTACACTGGGACGACTCCGTTGGTTTAGAAAAGCATGTATTACCTGTTTTTCAATTTCTATTTCAGTACATGAATTTCTTTCATTACTTATTAGGATAATACTGAGTTTGTTCTGTTCACATGTCCCCTCTTTGGAGAGGTCAGACAGCTGGCAGCCACACTTCCCCGTCTGTCTCTGTCTCTGTCGTTGACTGGATTTCACTGTCCCCTCCCCATCCTTCTGTTGTGGGATTGTGGTGATGGTGCGGACACAGCAGTGTGTGCTGGGGACTTCAGTGGTTCTGCTTGTGTACCCTCTGCTTGGGCTCGCTGGGGCTGCACTCTCCGCCGCAGTGCTTGTGCGTCCATTTTTTCGGTTGTGCTTGCTGGGGTTACACCTCCAGTTGCGTTGCTCACACGTGGTGTTACTGGAAGTTGTTGGTGTGCTGAGGAAAGCAGACAGGCTCCGGCACAGAGGAGAGGCGCTGGAGAGGCAGTGGAGTCCCTGAGCCCTTCACAGACCCATTTGCTATCAAACTTCGTAGCAGTTCCGAGCTGGGGACCTGGGACGGCAGGTAAGGCTCTTGCCTTGGACATGGCTGACCCCAGTTTGAACCCTCGCACCTCATGTGTTCCCCTGCTCATGGACAGGAAGAGCTCCTGAGTACCACTAGGCTTGGCCCCGAGATGCCAAAGGTGGAAAAGAGAAAACCCGTCGTAGAGGAGCTGGGGAGAGCTCACAGCCGGGGCCAGGCCCCACGGCAGCCTCGTGTGTCATGAGCTGAACTGTACCTGCACTGTCTGGGTCCCCCAGGGTGGCACGAAGCATCGAAGTATCATTCGGCTGAATATCTCTGCGAGTCGCCAGACACTGGTTGGGAGCCCCTCGCCCCCCATGAATCCTTACCAAAGCGCTTTTGTCTGGGACCTTAACCCACGTACTGGAAGTGCCATTGGGCCCAGGGCGTGAGTGGACCTGAGCATTCTCGGTTTTGTCACTGAGACAAAGTTCACGTAAGGTCAGCTCAGCTGTCATTAGGTTTCGCGTGAAGTGCTCTGGCCTCCAGGCCCCCAGCTTAGTGACCACACCTCAGGCGCTTTGCCCAGCCCCGCCCCTCTGTCTGCACATATTTTTCTGTGTGAGCCTGGAAGGGGCCGCGGCAGTACATCACCTTGTGTCTTTCACTTAGCTTCAGGCTTTGCCAGGTTCTAGCAGATAGCAGCGTTTTGTTCACTTTTCTGGAGGAAGATTCTGTACTGTGACTTGTTTGTTCATTCATCCACTGTTGACTTTGGGAATAATGTGCACAAAAGTGTCTTCAATTCTCTTGAGCACTTGAGTGCCTGGAATGGAACTGCTGGGCCTCAGGGCAGGTCTGTGTTTCACTTACTTCACCAGCACTGTTTCAGTTCCCGTACATCTTCACCAACACTTATTCCTGTTTGTTTAGGGTTTGGCTCACACCTGGAGGTACTCAGGGCTTACTCCTGGCTTTGCACTCAGGGATCACTCCTGCAGGACTTGAGGGAACATACAGGGTGCCCGGGATTGAACCCAGGTCAGCTTTGTGCAGGATAAGCACTTACTATGTGTCTGGCCCCCTCTTTGTATTTTTGTATTTATTAAGTATATAATATATCTATGCAAATTATATACACACATGTATAATGTACAGGGGGTGCTTTTGAGTCAGACCTGGTAGTTCCCCAAGAGCTGTTCCAAGCTCTGTGCTTCAGACTTGCTCCTGGGGTGTTCAGGGCCCCATGGGTGCTGGAGAATCACACCGGGATCAGCCACATGCGAGACAAATGCCTTAACCCCTGTTCTAACTCCCTGGCCCTTAGATTAAGAAAGACTCTTCAACCGAATGTAAAGTGGTGTCATTATGTTTTGTGATTTATTTCATTAGTGACTGGTAATACTAGGAATCTTTTCATTGTGTATCTCTTTTGGAACCATGTCTATTCAGGCTCTTTGCCTATTTTTTTTAATTGCTTTTATTTTTATTTCCATTACAACTCTTCGATTTTTTAAAAAATTTTTATTAGCAAGACACCATGAGGTACAGTTGTAGACTTAAAAATTTTGTGCTTGGGTTTCAATTATACAATGATCAAATACCCATCCCTCCACCAGTGCCTATTTCCCACCACCACGGATCCCAATATCCCTCCCACCCCCCATCCTCCCCCATCCTCCCCCATCCCCCTCTGCCTCTGTGGCAGGGCATTCCCCTCTGTTCTCTCTCTCCCTTTGAGTGTTGTGGTTTGAAAAAGAGTCTTTGCCTATGTTTTAGTTGGACTGTTTGTCTTTGTTGTTGAGTTGCAAGAGTTCTCTATTTATTTTGGTAATAAGTTCATATCAGATGGATGACTTAAGTATTTTTTTCCATTGTGTAGGTAGTTTATTCCTTTCAGTTTTCTTTTGGGGTCTTACTCGCGATGCCCAGAGGTTACTCGTGGCTCTCACTCAGAAATTACTCCTAGTGTGCTCAGGAGACCATATGGGATGCCGGAGATAGACCTGTAACTGTCGCCTGCCTACAAGGCAAGTGCCCTACCCTCTGTACTACTTCTCCAGCCCCATATTCCTATTCTTGATAATATCCTTTATTGCTCAGAAGTTACTAATTTTGTGTGGGGGGGGCGGACCCACCCTCAGTGGTACTCAGGGCTTACTCCTGGCTCTGTGCTCAGGGATCACTCCTGGTGGTGTTTGGGTGTGAACTGTGGCTGACTGTGTGCAAAGCAAGAGTCTTAGCTCCATATTAACTCTCTGGCCCCAAAGTTTAAAATTTGTTGAAGTCTCTATAGCTAATTTTTCTACTGTTGTTTTTATTTATTTATTTATTTGCTTTTTGGGTCACAACTGGCGATGCTCAGGGGTCATTCCTGGCTCATGCACTCAGGAATTACTCCTGGCGGTGCTTAGGAGACCATATGGTTTACTGGAAATCGAATCCAGTTTGGCCTTGCTGTATTATCACTCCAGCCCCAGTTTTTCTACTGTTGTTTTTAAATCTAAAGACACATTTCTGAATCTGAGATGATGAAGTTGTGCATCTATGTTGTTTCATAGTTTGAGTTTGTTATTTATTGGAGTGACTTTGGGTGGCATCTGGTGGTGGTGCTCAGGGCATGCTCTTGTTCTCTGCTAAGTGTCACTCATAACAGTGTGTGGGGGACCATACATGGGGCAAGTGCATCACCCCTGTACTATCTTCCATCTTTCTGCTTTGTAGTTTTAGACTTTGGTTCTTTCTGAATGAATTTCCATATTTGGGATCTTCCTTCCTTATTTTGTTTAGAGTTACCAGCTGTTCCAGCACCATTCATAAAAGACTCTTTGGCATCACTGTTGGAAATAAGTTGGCCCTAAACATTTGAATTTTTTTGTTTGTTGTTTTGGGGATGCTCCTGGCACTGCTCAGGGTTTTCTCATGTCGTGTGGGGAATGAACTCAGGTCATCCTTGTACAAGGCAAATGCCTCGCCTGCCTGCTGTACTGCTGCTCCATTTTTTTTAAATTTAATTTTATTTGGCAGCACATATACTAAAATAGGAACGATACAGATACAGAGAAGATTAGCTTGGCCCCTGCACAAGGATGACGTGCAAATGACACGCAGATTTTATTTTTTATTAAGTAGTTCTGGAGCTGGAGCGATAGCACAGCGGTAGGGCATTCGCCTTACAAGCGGCCAACATGGCCGACCCGAGTTCGATTCCTCGGCCCCTCTCGGAGAGCCCGGCAAGCTACCGAGAGTATTCGATATGCCAAACACAGTAACAACAAAGTCTCCAATGGAGACGTTACTGGGCCCGCTCGAGCAAATCGACGATCAACGGGAGGGCCTTTACCTTTACCTCGAGCAATTAAGTAGTTCACAGTATTTGATTACACTTAAATTTGAGCACCAATCCCACCACTATTACACCTTCCCACCACTATATTTTGGATGTTTCCATCCAGGACCCCAACCCCTGCCCCAAAGCAGAACTGAAATAATTTATTTTGTATTGTTTGTTATGAATAGAACTGCGGAGAATGCTCCAAAAAACTTTCTTTAGAGGAGAGTGTGTGAAGATTATTGCGTTTCATCCAGGGGCCATTAAACCCTTCTATAAGAGATTGCTAATATGTCATTAATTAAACCCCATCTAATGTGGTGTGCCACTCTTGGAATATGAGTGGTGTGAGGTATGAAGCAGCTGCATGGTCCAGGATTTTTGCTGCTGGGGCTGGGTCCCTGGGGCGGGGAGGGGCCTCCCCTGCCCCCCTCAGGGCACCCCGAATGAAATAGCGTGGTCTGGGGTCTGGCGGCATGGCTATGATGTGTGTGCTTTTATGTTCTCTTCCGAGAGGGAAAGGCTGTCAGAAAAGCTGTCGCTCCTTTTCTTTCTTGACTCTTACTGTTTTATTGGGCTAGAACACATTTTTGTTACTTGTAGACACTTTGAATGTGGGAAGTTTGTGAAGTTGAGTCACCCAGCCAGCTTTGCACTTCAGTGTTGCTCTTTGGAATCTCTTGTGGCTCCATTTTAATTTGTAGATTAGTTCACTCTTCTGCCGAGAAGGCCTTTGCGCTTTTGATAGGGTTTGCTTTGCTTTTGCTTGAGGGAGTTGCTGCCTTCCAATCCAAACCTGTGATGCCTTTCTCTTGATTTGCATCTTGAGTTCTGTCAGCTAGAATTTGTCGTTTCAGTGTACAAGAGTTTCACCTCCTTGGTTATGTTTGTTTATTTATTTATTTCGTTTTTTGGGTCACACCCGGCGATACACAGGGGTTACTCCTGGCTCATGCACTCAGGAATTACACCTGGTAATTTGGGGGGACCATGTGGGATGCTGGGAATCGAACCTGGGTCGACCGCATGCAAGACAAACGCCCTACCCCCCGTACTATTGCTCCAGCCCCCTTCTTGGTTATGTTTAAGTACTTATTTCCCTTCCCTTCTCTGTTGTCTCTGCAGTGCTCAGAGATGAACAGGGTTGTGTTGCTTACACACTTCGTTGTGTTTGCTGGGGTCAGAGACTTTAATTGTGGTGTTACACACCCTTGATTGCAGTGTATAAGAGACTGCCCACTTTAAAGAAATGTTTGAAACGTATTTAAACACTGTGATTTAATACATTGGTTTCAGGCATTCAGTGTCCCAGCACCAACCTCCCGACCAGTGTGACCTCCCGAAACTGTGTCCTCAGTTTCACACCTACCTGCCCCCTTCGCAGGCACAGAAGAATTTACTTTCTATTGCTCGTTGCAGCAAAATGGCAGATGGAATTATCCAAGCAAAAATCGCTCAGTAAAAGAAAATTTGTCAAAATTGTTATGTTTCACAAAGGTGTTCCTAAAGTCTCACCGAAAGGTTTACTGAGCCGGTTGTAGCTAGTTGAGTCTTCCACGTTGTTGCGTTTGCTCATTGAGCTTAGTGGGCTTCTATGAAACTTTCCTGTCCAATTTCCTGTGCTCCTACTACTGCCACGATTTGCTCGAGCGGGCCCAGTAACGTCTCCATTGGAGACTTTGTTGTTACTGTGTCTGGCATATCGAATACTCTCGGTAGCTTGCCGGGCTCTCCGAGAGGGGCGGAGGAATCGAACTCGGGTCGGCCATGATGGCGCTTGTAAGGCGAACGCCCTACCCGCTGTGCTATCGCTCCAGCCCTAAGTGATAGCACAGCGGGTGGGGCGTTCGCCTTACAAGCGGCCAACATGGCCGACCCGAGTTCGATTCCTCCACCCCTCTCGGAGAGCCCGGCAAGCTACCGAGAGTATTCGATATGCCAGACACAGTAACAACAAAGTCTCCAATGGAGACGTTACTGGGCCCGCTCGAGCAAATCGACGATCAACGGGAGGGCCTTTACTTTACTTTACTTTACTACTACTGCCAGTACTGTGAACTTGAGCCGCAGTGTGCTCCAGGAGCTGTGGGGCTGGGATGATTCAAGGAGCTGTGGGGCTGGGATGATTCAGTGGTTCAGTGTCTTCTTCGGTTAGTCACGGAGCTGGGAGGCTGGGCCATATGTGTATGTAAGAGGGTGACAGGTGTGGGTGGGGCGCTGGGCCTGTCAGCAGGGCAGGGACTCCACCCCCCATCCCAAGAAGCCTGCTGAGTTCTCGGCCCAAGCCCTGTCTTGGTGACAGTTGCACAGCTTGGGAGACTCCCACTTGGGAGACTCCTGTGGGCCCAGGCTCCAAAGCAGTTGCTGGGAGGCATCAGGAGCGTGGGAGAGTCCAGCTCCGGCCTGTGCGCATTCCGAGCCCTCATACGGCTGCTCCTTGCTTCAAGTTAGTCCTAGATAGTTTATTAGTTTACATGATACTGTAAATGGAATTGCTCCTTTGTTTTCCCTTGGGATCTAGGAGTGAGGGTGGGTGTGCTGGGAAATAGCCTTGAGCTTGAGAGTTGCTCCTGGCCATGCTTGTGGGGGGGGGTCTTCTGAAGGCAAAACAAATTCTCATCCCTTGTTCAGCCTCTTCCTTTGTCTTCCTTCACACTGTTCATTGCTATTAAAATTATACAATTCATTTTCATGTAATCAAAACATGTGACTTTCTGAATTTGATGATAGCTTTTCTGTGTGTTTGTGTGTGTTCTGTAGATTTTTTTATGCTTAGAAATGGTTTATCTCTTTTCAGTCTGGTACCTTGTGTTTCTTTTTCTCCACCCCTCTGGCTCGAATGTCTACTACAGTGGTGACTGAATAGTGGAAGCAGATATTTCTGTCATCACCGGTTTCAGTGTCTGACCATTGATTATAAAGTTAGGTGTGGGTTGTCTACTCCCAATAAATGACCTTTATTACATTAAGGAAATTACCTTCATTTCTCAGTTTGCTATGTATTTCAGGAAAGGCTGTTGAATTTTGTCAGATGCTTCCTGTGAATCCATTTCTTTTTTTTTGGCTTTTCTTGGGGGGTCAAAAGGATCACTTTCAGGGGCTACTCCTGGCTCTGCAGTCAGGAATTACTCCTGTCAGTGCTTGGGGGACCATCAGGGATCACTGATCACTGATCTCTTGCTGGAGCGGGCCAAGTAACATTGTGAGACTTGTTGTTACTGTGTTACTGTGTTTGGCATATCCATTATGTCACCTGTAGCCTGCCAGGCAAGATACTCTCAGTAGCTTGCTGGGCTCTCCAAGAGGGGCAGAGGAATCGAAGTCGGGTTGACCGGGTCGGCCACCTGCAAGGCAAACGCCCTACCCGCTGTGCTATTGCTCCAGCCCATCCATAAGGGATCCCCGGGATCAAGTTCACATCAGTTACGTGCAAGGCAAATGCCCTACCCCCTGTACTATCATTCCTGCATCTATGCATCTATTGCACATCTTATGATACCGTTACTTGTTTTAGTTTTGGGGCCACACCCAGTGGTGCTCCAGGCATAATCCTGGCTGGGCTCAGGGGACTATATGAGGTGTGGGAGATTGCTCTGGTCCTAAAATACCACTTTTTTTTTCTTTTTGGGTCACACTCACCAATGCTCAGCGGTTACTCCTGACTCTGCTCTCAGGAATTACTCCTGGTGATGCTCAAGGATCCATATAGGATGCCAGGGATCCAACTTGGGTGGGCTGCGTGCAAGGCAAACGCCCTACCCACTGTATTACTGCTCCAGCCTCTAAAATAGCACTTTCAGAGATGAGAAATACATTGGGTGGAGAGATAGTACAGTGAGTAGGGGGCTTGCCTTGGACATGGCCAACCTAAGTTCGATCCCCAGTACTTACAAGGTTCCCTGAGCCCTGCCAGGAATAAGCCCTGAGTGCAGACAGGAATAAGCTCTGAGCACAGCTGGGTGTAGCCAAAAACTCCAAAGTAAATAAATAAAAATAAAGGTGGGAAATATAGTATCTGAAATGAAAAAAATGCAATTGTGTGCTAATATCATGGAAGAAAGCGTGTGTGAAGTTCCAGATACAGGCAAGCTCACACGTGTGCACAGGTACACATGATCAGTCATGGGGATGATGAGACCGTTCATCCGAGCCCAGGCACCAGGGGCTTCAGGAGGCCCCCAAGACTGCCTGAAATGTCAGGCATTGATCAGCAGTGTCTTCATCACAGAGTCGACAGGGACAGGTGCCCAGGAAAGATGGACATCCAGGATACAGCCAGGGGCACTGCGGGGCTGAGGGTGGGGTGCGGGCACTGCTGACAGCCTCCACCAGACCAGAGAGGCAGCGTCAAGCCTCCTAGCAGAACGCGGCCCACGGGCTGCCCTGTGGCCTCATGCCGTCCACCCTGCCGGCATCTGAGCTGGGACAGGCGCACATATGGTACCACCATCGGATCACCCTGAATGGTCCACAGCCACGCTCAGTCCAGCAAGTGTCCACGAACTTGCTAGAAAGACAGAGCGAGGAAGAAGCAGGAAACAGGCTGTGTGACTCGCTGACAGGTCTCGATACAACTGCTTTTCAAGAACAGAAATACAAGTGTCAGCTGCACAATACGCCTTCAGTTTCGGGTGAAGCTTCCAAATCTGGAGATGTTTTTAACGTACTTAAGGAAAGAAGTTAGTGACCCAAAGTTAAACTTGAAAAATTTAAGTTACTTTAAGTTACTGTGTGTATAAGCCTTTAAGTTTGTGTGCATGTATGTGGGTACATGTGAATGTATAAAGGAAACAG